TAATATATATATATATAATATATATATGTGTGTGTGTGTGTATATATATATATATATGTGTATATATATATATATATTATATTATATATTATATATATATATATTATATATATATATATATATATATATATACAGTGGACCCCCACATACCGTTGGCATCACATAACGTTTAATCCGCATACCGATACATTTTATCGCTAAAATTTTGCCTCGCATACCGCTTAAAAACCCGCTCACCGCTGTTCGTCCGAGACGCATCCAATGTGCGCCTTAGCCAGCCTCACATGTTCCGCCGGTGGCATTGTTTACCAGCCAGCCTCCGCGGTAGCATACAATCGTAACATTTCGTATTATTACAGTGTTTTTGGTGATTTTATCTGGAAAATAAGTGACCATGGGCCCCAAGAAAGCTTCTAGTGCCAACCCTACAGCAATAAGGGTGAGAATTACTATAGAGATGAAGAAAAAGATCATTGATAAGTATGAAAGTGGAGTGCGTGTCTCCGAGCTGGCCAGGTTGTATAATAAACCCCAATCAACCATCGCTACTATTGGTGGTACAGCTGCTGCTGCTGCACTGTCAGCTGCTGCTGCTGCTGCTGTAGCATCATCTGCTGCTGCTGTAGCATCGTCTGCTGCTGCTGTAGCATCGTCTGCTGCTGCTGTAGCACTGTCGGCTGCTGCTGCTGCTGTAGCATCGTCTGCTGCTGCTGTAGCATCGTCTGCTGCTGCTGCTGCTGTAGCATCATCTGCTGCTGCTGTAGCATCGTCTGCTGCTGCTGTAGCATCGTCTGCTGCTGCTGCTGCTGCTGTAGCATCATCTGCTGCTGCTGTAGCATCTGCTGCTGCTGTAGCATCGTCTGCTGCTGCTGTAGCACTGTTGTTGGTGTGGCTTATTGAGAATATACCAAGAAACAATTAACCCCAGAGGATTTGCCACCCAGGATAACCCAAAAAAGTCAGTGTCATCGAAGACTGTCTAACTTATTTCCATTGGGGTCCTTAATCTTGTCTCCCAGGATGCAACCCACACCAGTCGACTAACACCCAGGTGAACAGGGAAAAATGCCTGGAACTAGTGCTCATATTGGTGAATTTAAAGCTAGCAAAGGTTGGTTTGAGAGATTTAAGAATCGTAGTGACATACACAGTGTGATAAGGCATGTTCTGGAAGAAAATACCAAACAGGACCTACAGTACTCAGGAGGAAAAGGCACTCCCAGGACACAGTGTCTCATCAGTCATTGCTGCATCTTCAATAAAGGTAAGTGTCATTTATTCTTCATTTAGTAGACTAATACATGCACAATATATACTGTGCATGTACTACTCTACTATTGTGCATGTATCCTTCTCTTTGTGTGTAGGAAAATGTATATTTCATGTGGTAAAATTTTTTTTTTCATACTTTTGGGTGTCTTGCACGGATTAATTTGATTTCCATTATTTCTTATGGGGAAAATTCATTCGCATACCGACTATTTCGCATACCAATGAGCCCTCTTGCACGGATTAAAATCGGTATGCGGGGGTCCACTGTATACGTATATATATATCTCCTAGGTACTGTAGTAGGTTGTCATGTTGTAAGCGACTAAAATGCCAGGAGCAAGGGGCTAATAACCCCTTCTCCTGTATAAATTACTAAATTTGAAGAGAGAAACTTTTGTTTTTCTTTTTGGGCCACCCTGCCTCGGTGGAATACGGCCGGTTTGTTTAAAGAAAAGAAGAAAGAAAGAAGATATATATATGTATTTCTTATGGGAAAATCGTGTGGTATATGTCCTGTTTGGTATAAGTCCAAGGTCCTGGACCGGATTAAGGATGTATAACGAGGTACCACTGTATTATTATTATTATTATTATTATTATTATTATTATTATTATTATTATTATTATTATTATTATGGATCATGCAGAGTCTGGGAATAAAAGGCGATCTGGCTCAGTCTTAGGAAAGGAGGGACAGGTCTAATTCCTTGAATCAAGAGGCCTCCTCACTGACCTCAAGGGACTGCTCTTGAGAGGTTGTCTGGAGATATTTTTTACACAGTATTGTTTTATAGTATACTGTATTTTATAATAAAATTATTTTTTTGTGCTTACCACTCATTTAACACATACCTTATATAATAGTTGTGTCTCAGCATGTGCAGGATTAACTAGATATTTTTTGTAAAGGGTACCAGTAGTATCAGTTTCTTAAAAGTGTATAATATAGAGGTGATCTGAGTAACATGTTGCAGTTAACACAGTAATATTTCAGGTGTACAGTATTCTTGACAGTATGTCTCTAGTAAAAACTGTTCTTTAACATTATTGCATACATATGGTACCATTTTGACTCGTGAAATGGTAATAATAGAATTGCAAACAAAACACGGAACAGATGAGGTTTGAACCCATGGCAAGTGAGTACCATTTTATGTGCAGATATGTGTTTATATTTTGATCATCAGGTATCTCTCTGTAGTAGAAGACATACAGTGTGTACCTAGGATTTTTTGTACTTAGATGCGTATACTGTTCATTCTACTTTTCTTTGCAGCCCGGGAGAGTTGTAACTTTAGTCCCATCAGAAGATCCTGAGGTTAGTATCACTTACCATAATTTAATTCAACAGGTATAATATTTGATTTTGTGAATTTTATTTTAATTATCAAACCTTAAAAAATGAATAATAACTCATTGATAACCAGAACATGTACTCCTGATTCAAATGATCAGAAAGGTAGATTTTGAAAGGGGCAGATCTTAAAAAAAAGAGATGAGACATTTTTTGTATGTTTACTGTATTTATTAGTGGATTTATTTCATAGGGTGTGCAAAAGAAGAAAATTAAAGGTGAATACAGGAAAGAGTAAGGTTATGAGGATAACAAAAAGATTAGGTGATGAAAGATTGAATATCAGATTGGAGGGAGAGAGTATGGAGGAGGTGAACGTATTCAGATATTTGGGAGTGGACATGTCAGCGGATGGGTCTATGAAAGATGAGGTGAATCATAGAATTGATGAGGGAAAAAGAGTGAGTGGTGCACTTAGGAGTCTGTGGAGACAAAGAACTTTGTCCTTGGAGGCAAAGAGGGGAATGTATGAGAGTATAGTTTTACCAACGCTCTTATATGGGTGTGAAGCGTGGGTGATGAATGTTGCAGCGAGGAGAAGGCTGGAGGCAGTGGAGATGTCATGTCTGAGGGCAATGTGTGGTGTGAATATAATGCAGAGAATTCGTAGTTTGGAAGTTAGGAGGAGGTGCGGGATTACCAAAACTGTTGTCCAGAGGGCTGAGGAAGGGTTGTTGAGGTGGTTCGGACATGTAGAGAGAATGGAGCGAAACAGAATGACTTCAAGAGTGTATCAGTCTGTAGTGGAAGGAAGGCGGGGTAGGGGTCGGCCTAGGAAGGGTTGGAGGGAGGGGGTAAAGGAGGTTTTGTGTGCGAGGGGCTTGGACTTCCAGCAGGCATGTGTGAGCGTGTTTGATAGGAGTGAATGGAGACAAATGGTTTTTAATACTTGACGTGCTGTTGGAGTGTGAGCAAAGTAACATTTATGAAGGGATTCAGGGAAACCGGCAGGCCGGACTTGAGTCCTGGAGATGGGAAGTACAGTGCCTGCACTCTGAAGGAGGGGTGTTAATGTTGCAGTTTAAAAACTGTAGTGTAAAGCACCCTTCTGGTAAGACAGTGATGGAGTGAATGATGGTGAAAGTTTTTCTTTTTCGGGCCACCCTGCCTTGGTGGGAATCGGCCGGTGTGATAATAAAAATAGATAATAAAAATTATTTCATAGGGAATTTTAAAATCATAGGGGTTATATAGCACATTGGATAATGAGTGGCAATAGATTAGATTTAAGGAATGGGAGAGTAGCTTCAGTTCTTTGTATCAAGAACCCATTACTTGCTGGGATTATAAGGAAGAGGCAAATGGATGTTGATATATGAATGATTGTCTTGTAACATCTCACTAAGTGAGGGCTGCCTAAATACTCTACTGCTATAAAGGCTTCTTAATAGGTCTGGCAGAATACATTTATTCACCCTGTCACCACTGACATAGTAGATACCCTCATTCAGAATCTGTATTACCTACCGTTCATGGATATGTATTTTTCAACCACCAACTATAGTGGCCCTTGGGTTGGGTTGGAAGAAAGCCTGCAGCTTCTGCAGGGTCCCCCAAATTTTGATGAATTTTTTATTGTGGAATTTGAACTGTAACACAATTTTTTCAATCTACAGTTTTGGTAAGGTTTAAATTCAAGTCACCCTGACTGACTTTGCCAGCACTTGTCAGCATACAATCTCACTTCATGTATCTTGGGCTCTACTTTGCCGTCTCAGGATCATAAACATTTATGAGGTCAAGTACCAGTTAGTGTTTTTTTTAACACAGCTGCTATCTTCCACCAAGGCAGGGTGACCCAGAAAAGAAAGAAACACTTTCACCATCATTCAGCACTTTCATCATTCACACATAATCACTGTCTTTTGCAGAGGCGCCAAGATACGACAGTTTAGATGTCACTCCAGACAGCTCATATCCCAGACCCCTCCTTTAAAGTGCAGGCATTGTACATGTACTTCCCACCTCCAGGACTCGAATCCAGCTAACCAGTTAGTGTATACCCTATAAATAATTATCTGTCCATTTGTTAACTGTTGTGAGGGTTTGATACCCTATACTATATTGCCCACACTTATAACCAAATACAGTGGTCCCTCGTTTTTCGTAATTAATCCGTTCCTGGAGGAGCTACTATAAACGAAATTTACGATTTGCGAATCAATTTTCCCCATAAGAAATAATGTAAATACAATTAATCCGTTTCTGACACTCAGAAGTATTAAAAAAAAAATTTTACATGAAATATACATGTAGTACATAAACAATACAGTGGGAAATGATGAATGAAACATTAACAGCATAACACTTACCTTTATTGGAAATTCTTCTTAGTGTATGGGAGACTGGAGGAGGAGAGAGATTGGATTGTTTACAGTTTGGAAGGGAAATCCCCTTCCAGCAACACCTCAGGTACCAATTGCTTCTCTGGGGTTGCTTCTCTTCTCTGTTTCTTAATGCCACTAGGACCACCTTGAGAGTCACTCTAGTCCTGTCTCGCAAAGTAACTGTGGAGAGAGCTCTGTTTCTGGCGTCTCTTTAACACTTCCCTAAATTGGTACAAGACTTTGTCACTGTACATATTTCTCACCTTCTTTACCACAGGCTTGGCACTAGGAGCTTTCTTTGGAGCCATGGTAGCTTATTTAGTACTTGCAAGCACTAAAATGAGTGGAATATTATGAAATATTTCGTAGGAGCACTTGAGGGGACCTTCACTCACTGGTAAACAATGCCAGACTGGCTGGGTAGGGAGGCCTTCCCTGCTCACACCGTGCATAAGCGTCCTGGACGAACTACTATTCGCGAGTCAACCTATGAAAAGCGAGTCCATGTTTATACGAAAATACCCCTATGATTGGCGAAATTTACGATTGCCGAGAACTACGAAAAGTGAGGGACCACTGTATTATGAAGGTTTGATACCCTATACTATATTGCCCACACTTATAACCAAATATTATGAAGGTTTGTTGCCCCATATGTCACCCACCTTAACTACAGTTATAACCAACTGTTGTGAATGCTTGATCTTCCATATCTCACTCACCTTAAGCTGCGTTATGATTAACCCTTTGACTGTCGCAAGCCCCTTTCTGAAACTGTTATTCTATGTCAAAAAATATTTGAAAAAAAAAAAAAATTATTTTTCTTTTGAAATGATGTAGAAACTTTTCCCAATGGTAATCACACCAAAAGTACGAAATTTGATTGAAAACTTACGGAATTACGCTCCCGCAAAGCTAGCGATCTTGGTGATAAATATGCATCGGGGTTTTCACCAACTTTGAGCCCTATTTTCGGCCAATTCCATTGTTCTAGTCAACCAGACTCATAGCAATTTCTATAGAACTCCATTTTTTTCCTATCAATTGAGTACAAGAAACCACCAATTTACCAATTTTAACTACCCAATAAAGTGGTCAGAAATTGGCAATTTGGCCAATTTTACGCATTAAAAAAAATGCCAATTTCAAAATAAGGTCCAGAATAAACAATGCAGACATTCTTGGCACTAAAATAACACATCCTCTGTTCATTAGTCAAGTCTCCAGGCCCCTCTTATATTACTCTTGCTTTCTATTTTGATTTTTTATTCACACAAAAAATAGAAGATTTACTGTATTGCAGACTACTGCATTATTGTAAAAATAGTATAAATAATATCAGTGCACTAGTGAAAGATTAGACTCCCCAGTTGATGTGTATTGGACGAGTGGTGTGATTTGTTTACTCTTGAACACTGGTAAAAATTGAACATTTCTGCTACTTTGAGCTCAATTTCAAGGTCGTTTTCATTGTGAAACTAATCAAAATTACCACTATTTCTGTAATATGTTTTCCATTCTATCAAATGAGACCATGAAAATGAGAATACAACTGTAAATACTATACAAAAATACACTTCAGAGTCTGCGTTTTAATCCAAAAACACAGTCGGAGTTTTTTTTTCTCTCATTGTGCACTGCGTGCTGCAGGATTTTTTTTATACAGTGCGGACTGACCACACAGACCCATTCTCTCCCATTTCTCCTGCTTGATTTGAAGCCACTAGAATTATTGAGTACATATATGTCTGAAACACTGGCTCGTAAGATGTATATATACAGCCGAAACAGTCAAAGGGTTAACTAACATGATAGGGAAGGGGTTGGGGTTGGAGACAAGAGTGAGTGGTGAGCTCTTGTTGTCCTGCTTACATAGACATGTCTAATGTGTGGCCAGCAGATGGGAAGGGAGGAAGTCAATGCAGATGCTGCCTCATGTCACACCACTACATACCAGCGACGTCCAGAAACGAACATAATTTATATCTGCACTTCTTGACCAATCTTTGTCAGATATATGTGAGCCAAACATTTATAAATAATATGAACATACCCAAAATAACAGTACATATGATCAAAACAGTAACGGGAAAAAATAAATATAATTTATCTTTAACAGAATCATAATTATTAACCTACAGTTCTTTACCAATATTTATTAAACAAACAATAACTCTCCAGACACACTCCATAAATACTGTTGAGGGTAATTTCTGTTTAAATATTTACACTTATTATACCTGCAGGTCAGCATTCATGAGTTATCACTTGGTTCCAAAGTCATCAGTTGGTTCCACTTATGATGTTTTGTAAAAACTAAACATCATATGTGGAGGACCTACTGCATTCGTAGCCATTCTTTAAATGAATTCTTCCAAATTAACTGATTCACACCGTGATGTAACTCCTACTGAACCTTAGTACTATATATACTTCAGGCTCAGGTATGGGGTGTGGCCTATGAAGTTCCTCCTGAGCAAGAGGCAGATGTTACAAAGCGCTTAAATGTACGTGAGCAGCGCTTTGATAATAGGAAGACTGTAGTGATGTATGGTCCCAGTGGACACCCATTATCACATTCAGTTCTAGTGTTTGTTGGCAGTAATGAGCCAGAACTCTTCTTAGGTGATGCTCCGC